TGGAAAAATAATCACTTTTGCAGACGACACCGTTCTGATTTTTCAAGGCGATTCCTGGAAGGATACGTATCAGAATGCTCAAGAGGGCATGAATCGAGTCACATATTGGCTTAACTGCAATTTGCTATCGTTGAACGTCGATAAGACTAAATACGTAACATTTCAACTAAAAAATAAAAAAACTACATTTTGAAACACCTCAGCCCATCATTGCACATCTATGTCATAATCGAGATGTAATTCCAGTCCCATGTACCTGTAAAGAACTAAAACTGGTTGATACAATTAAATATCTAGGAATCATTATTGATAAAAACCTAAACTTCGAAGCTCACATAAATGTATTGACTTCCAGAACAAGGAAACTAATTTTCATTTTTAAAAACTTGAGACGAGTGTGTGATAAAAAGATCCTTAAAATAATATATCTCGCCTTATGTCAATCAATACTGATGTATTGCATCACATCCTGGGGAGGTGCAGCCAAAACCATTTTGATCAAATTGGAACGTGCACAAAGGGCAGTCTTAAAGGTAGCACTTTACCTACCTTTTTTGTATCCCACAAGAGACTTATACCAAAGGTTTGATGTCCTTAAAATTCGGCAACTTTTTATTTTTCGTCTTATTCTTAAGTCTCACTCATCAATTATCTATGATCCCCTAATTGTTGCAGAAAAACGTCGAAAACATAAAATCTTTCAAGCTGACATAATCCATAAAACCACTTTATCTCATAGGTTCTATTGTTTTTTGGGCCGATACCTATATAATAAAATTAATGCTATCCTTTGCATATACTCCTGTAATAAATATAAGTTAAAAACAGTATTAACAACATGGCTACAAAACCTAACCTATGATGATACAGAAAGCCTACTTGTGCCACTAAGTTAAACATGTCTATTTATTTATTTATTATAGTTTGAATTATACAAATACATAACATGCACTAGCATAATCATGTACACATACACAAACAAACACATACCCACTTACAGACACACACATACACGTATACTCGCAAGCAAACCCACACTCACACTCACACACACGCACACACACACACACACATCTCTTTTTGCTATTTTTTATTGCTTTTCTCTTGTTTGTCTACTTATACTAGTATAATGTGTTACAAACTAGTACATGCTAAAGAAATATAACTATGTTCCGTCCGGTTTTACCTACCGCAGACACTAGTCTCTCACAAAGCAATGTTGTACCCAATTTGACTGATCTGTATTTATAAGTTCTTTGTGATGAGAGAAATAAATAAATATTATTATTATTATTATTAATTGATGTCATTTGGCGATAAGTCTATTACGTAGTAAAGTTCTTTGAAATTGTATTTATCTTTAATAGAGGGCTCTATTTAATAAGGGGTTGAATAAGACACAAATTATCACAGCCAGGACCATTGTTGCCAATTAGCCAGATATTGTGGTGATAGATCGATTAGAGCATCGCGCAATGATTGTTGATTCCGCCGTTCTTCATAACAAGAATCTCGTGTAAGTTGTAAAAGAAAAGCAAATAAAAGGAAGTTCTCCTTGACCCGGCCCGTATGTGAGGAGGTTCCTGTCTTTGGAGTCCTAGCCAGCGATGTCTTGGTCCCGTCGGTAGTGGTGATGTCGGTGGTCTACTATTTTAAAATGTATTTTTTTCTATTTAATATATTTAAAAATGCAATCAATATATAAATATAACGTAACAAAGAGAATAATAATAAGATTCCAATATATCCACACAATGCCATCTAGTCCCAAACTAAGCAGAGCTTGTACTATGGGTACTTGACAACTGACATAAATCATATTTACTTTTTTTTGTAAATCCATGCTCCAAAGACGTGTTCTAGAGAACCTGGGCAGAGTATCGACAACCCATCAACTGATAGACTTGTTAAAATGCCATTGGGAGCAATTGCTCAGTTAAAGAATCTTATAAATTCAATGAAAAAGCGTCGCCGACAAGTTTTAAACAACACTTGTATTAAATTACCAAATAATTAAAAAAAAATGCCGTTGTTTAACTTTGTAAAACATGTGTAGAGGAACGGGTGTCATGTCCTTCCAACAAAACGGGAGGATCCTCCGACCTAGCTAGGTGGTCATGCCTGGCAGGCCACAGCCTAGTGATTAATGTTGGGAAGTTGTATATATGCTAATTGGCGAGAGAATTCTTTATATATAGGAGTTACTATGTAGTTTAGTGTGTGTTCGTTAGATGGCGCTGTAGTACGTTTCACCGTATGTGGAAGTCGCCACACATGAAAAGTTTAATTTCGTGTTAATATTATTTTATACTTCTTAGCTTACAGTACACATACTAATTATTGTTTTCCATGCTCACACAAAAATATAATTCTTAAATTATACACTTATAATACTTATAATTTTTAGAAATAAATAATCTTACTTCGCAATCGTAGGTAGAGGAAATAATAATTGTTGCCACCAGGCTTTAGAATAATTTTATTTAAGTTTACCGCTCATTTGATGAAATTACATTTTTTTTATGTTTATATATACTCGTATATTATCCACAGCGTCATAACTTCCTTTTTCCAGCAGCTACGCTGTGTCACGACGAGATAAGAAAGCCGCGCATCATCCGGCTGCAATCGAACCAAACTATGACTGATTCTGATTACTAAAATTTGCATAACATTTTTATGGTACATAATCTTAGTTTTCTGCGGTAAGAGTTATAGATTAATTAATTAGATAAAGGCGATGCTGTGTAATTAATTCTTTGCCACTGCAGCTACTACCGTTGATACATGTACACTTTATTTAAATTCATCTTTAACAGAAAGTTTATCGAACAGTCACGTCAACAATGAAATAGCATACATTTAGAACAACTAAGTCACACATTCCTACAGATTTACTTAATTTTTTATTCTGTTTATCAGACTCTCTATTACCGATAACTTTGTTTTTGTAAACGATACTCGCTTCCGATAAATGTGATATCATATCTTTATCTCTCTACGTTCTTAACACAATATTGACATCTGTATGCCCATTATATTTAACTGCTACGTAATATAGATATGAAGAACCTTGGATTCTAAGGTCAATGATGTCTAGTTCTTATTTCTAAACTTGTCTTAAGAGTATATAAAATTATATGTATGTGTGTTGAGTAATTTTTTAGAGTATTGTTGCTACTTCGTCATCGTTGTATGTGTGTGTGTATAAAACGTACTTCAATTACATATAAAGAATATTATGGTAACCTACGATTTACGAAGTAACACTAATCCTACAACGCGCAGGCAAACTAGCCTAGCCGAGTAGTATATACAAATTTCCAACATTAACAGTAGAGTTACGGCCAGGCATGATTGTCTTGCCTGGTAGGAGGATCCTCAGTTTCTGTTGGAGGTTTTTGGTGGCCGATTTTTACTATCTGTTCTAAGCATTGTGATGTATGTGATGTGTTTATCTAACTTCAAAGGCAAAAAAAGTAATACTTTTTTCATGTAATGCCGTTTTCTCTAAATATACTATAAGTTATTAAAAATGATAGAAACAGCATATTCAGATTTTTTAATTAAATGCATTTCAAGAGATAAAATAATTTCTAAGAAAGTGAAAACTGTTTTGTGAAATTTTGTTTGTATTGAAATTACCTTTTCAAGTTTTATGTCAACAGCTGGCTATTGTTCCGTCTATAAATGTCTTAGTCTGAAGGTCTCAGAAGCTTAATAAAGTTGCTAATTTCGGTGGCATATCTTTATTTATTTTTCTATCAGTATGTTTTTATAACCACCTCCGATTCCAGAACTGAATAGCTGCTGTTGATCAAACAGTAGTAACGACAGTTACCAATGTACGCCACTTAAAGGTGTGTTTTATGATAGGGCTAATCCCACCCAGACACCGAGTTATGATTTTGGAGAATCCCAGGAAAAAATTAAACTGTCATAGAACCCGCAACGTTACATCAGAAGAAAATTGGGGGAGTTGGGTTTTATTATGTAAACTAAATATCATATTAGCATTAAAATATTTAAAGTAATGATTTCATAAACCTAAATAATATATATAAAGTATTAAAATAATGTAAGCTAAACCATTTTGTTTTAAAGAAATGAAGACATGACTGTTGGTAAAGTAAAGATTGGAAATAAAAGAGCAGAACAAGTAAATAAGTTGAAAATGGAAGTGCGAGTATTAAGTCAGATGTTGCATCAACTCATCATCAATTAAAAATCATAAATGAACATAGCATGGAGAGTAGGAATGAAACCTAATAACATTGAAATACGCCAACCGATATGTTAAAAAGTAAGGACAGGCGTATACCAACCAGATCCGCAGTGTACTGAAGAAGGTAGGCTCTTATAAAAGTAGCCGAACCTGGCGAGCATGTATGTAAAGTACCATCATCAGAGAAGAGACGAAACATGTATGTCTGGATCGTTGCAAATGGCGTTTTATCGTATCTAACCATTTTAGACGGCTACGGGTAATAAAACTTGAGTATATGCGTGTGGACACAAATTGAATACTATACACTAATTTCGAAGCGATGAAATACATCCCACGTGTGCTCGTTCTTTTATGTTTCCTTTTAAAAGTAAGGAAAGTAAAACTTTCATCTTTTATTCTTACTTTCCAAGGTTTTGCTGTTGTCCTTTTCTGTAGGAACTCTCTATCAAATTGAACGGCTCTCAAGATTTTAAATAGACGTTACAGCCAAAAGATACTATTTTTAGAAATTAGGATATTTCTTAAACAGAAACATTAGCGGTAATTTCTAATACTCGTATGTAAACGTTTCAGTTTACGGCTCTAAAATACAAGTTTTTTTTTTAATAATATCCTTTCACTGTAGCTCGAGTATCGTGATGTTGTTTATGTGTTTTTACACTGTGTGATAAGAATGATAATGATATTGATTATATAATAGAAGTTGTAAGTAAATCTCGAATGAGCTCGCTACCAGTGTGGCGGTGTGTGTGACGCAGACGTGTCGTAGAAAATGTGGAGTAAACATGCTTTGAGTGTAACGAGAGTCAGCTGTTCACTCAATCAGAGGTTAGTTTATTATATTTATTTTTAGTGAAGTAATATTTTATAGGACTGTGCATTTAAAAAACAAATACTTCGTAAATAGCAAAATCTGTTACTTACATTATTGTAATTTTTTACTAATTAACAGTTATGTGCACACTAAAGCGTCTCCCGAAAGGTGGGATTTTATTTTCTAATAGAAATTGGTTATCGCATTTAGTGCCTTGATCAACCGCTTTACTCGCTTTATGTTGAGTCGATCCCGCCACGTTGGCGCAGCTAAGACACCAACAATAAAACTCTCATTATTTCAAAATGTTAATTACTAAGATTTTAACTGACTGCGTTAGAAGGAGGGTTATAATTTTCGAGTGTTTATAATGTAGTCTCTGTAGTCTAAACGGTTTAATTGCTTTTGGCTTGCCAGGTGTCGTTAGAAAACGTTAAAACGACAGCATTGACCTTACAATTTGTTGAGTAAATATACAAAAAAGTGTGACTAAATTTAGTAAAAGGTTTTTAATCAAAATTCGACAGACAACAGAATATGGTATAAGACATTAGTTCCGGAGACTATGGTACCATCGGTTTGTTACAGAAGACTTAGTAGATCACTTTTATGCTTTTTTTTTATTTAGCTCAATAGGCTTGGATTTCTCATAAAACAACTAATTTCTCTGACCATGTGGGGCCCATGTGTCACCCACAGTGGGGCAAAGTGGGGCGCTTGCCTCACCCTCCACCCTGACTTGATCCCTTTTTTCAAGTGACGAAGAATTTAAAATATTTCATAAAGTAGAGGTTTCGTTGCAACACCGAAATTTGGTAAGGTAAGATTCAATTGCTCTCCTTCAAGAGGGAGCAATTAGCAAAGTGATACACGCTGAGTTAGGCAGTACTGCTTTTTTTCCGTGATGAAATCTCCACACATCATTACTTCATCGGGGCACACGGTGTTCCGTTACATAAGTCTATTGCAAGGCACTCTGGTATACCCTAGGGAGAAAGTCCCCGAGAACCTTAGGGGATCTTGATGGACGGAAAAAAAGGGGATCTTGGTGGCCACACCATCGAGTACAGGTGGCCTTGGACTGCTTGCAGTTTAGAGAGGCGCGCGCGGAACACTTCGTGCCACCGTTTCGAGTTTGATTCTGCTAGGACAACGGCCAGCTTCACCGTTGCTCCCAGGCCAGTACTCTTGGAGGCCGGAGATCTTTATGTGTTCTCCGGTGCCCACTGCCGCTCCATCGTGACGAGAAAGTACTGGCGCTTTTCTGTTTCCTTCCCGCCGCCTCTTTAGTGGATGTCACTTCCTCACTAAAAGAAACCGCGGCATCAAACTCACTGTCACTTAGGAACATGGCTTGAATCATGGTCTCTAGCTCTAGCTAGAGACCATGATTCAGGCCATGTAGCCTCTAGGCTTCCTACGCCAATAGCCACCGTGAGATCGGAGCGTTGTTGTGTCCATGCTGAGCACTCCACTGGAGTGTGGAGTGCAGTATCCTCGTGACAGCCTTCGCAGTAATGGCACGCAGACGTTAGCTCCCGGCCGGCCTGTAGGTACAGCACCGGTACTTTCTGAAATAGCCGTGGCCGGTCAGTACCTGCGTAAGCCGGTAGGAGAGGCTATCATACCATGCTACCTCTCGAGCCAATCCTCTATGATGGGTTTTATCGCTAAAATTGTGGCGTGCCCTGCGCTCAGTCGCCAAAGTAGCATTTTCCAATTCACCATTAAAACCTGACGGTGAATGAAGAATGGACAAAAAGATATTCGGTTTTACAAAAAGTAAACCTCAAGCCAAAGTTGTATCACTGTGTTCAGTACTGCCATTATTATCAAGCAATCGACTTTTGGAAATGTTTCACATCAACAGCCTTTAACAGTCAACTGCTGGAAATGAGCCTCTCCTTAGAAAGGAGGTTTTGGCCTACTATACCACGCTAGCAAGACGGGTTGGTATAGGGTTTGTGTCAAGTTTTCCTTCTCTCTGCAGCGCTGTTGTTCTGAGTAGATTTTTTCAATTAGTCGGCTCTTACGACATTCACAAATTGAATAGGGTTAATGACACTCTGTATTCTTAATCTGTTAAATTCCGGTGTTAAATCAATAATATTAAAATCGACAAATGTTTAAATTACTTTGATCTTTTGGTCTTTCTAACACACCGGTGGGCACAGGCGATCGAGACTAAAGGAGAGGCTTGTGCGGTTAGTTTGGACATAGCAAGGCCTTTGATCGGGTCCGCTTCTCTCAAAGCTCCCTTCCTTTGGGATGCCCGAGAAATTGTGTAATTGGGTCACCAGCTTCCTTGCGGACAGAAGCATTAAGGTCGTTGTCGACGGTGCATGCTCCGACTTGAAATTCGTAAGTGCTGGTGTCCCACAAGGCTGTGTGCTACCACCCACACTGTTTCTTCTGCATATCAATGACATGTTGCAAACTAGTAGCATCCATTGCTATGCAGATGATAGCACAGGAGATGCCCTTTATACCGGGCGCCCCAACGTTTCTCGGGAAAACGTCATCGAGAGTCGAAACAAACTTGTGTCTGAAATTGAAACTTCCTTAGCGGAGGTTTCAGATTGGGGCCGATTAAATTTAGTCCAGTTTAACCCAAAAAAGACACAGGTATGTGCGTTCACCTCAAAAAAGAAACCATTTGTCGTATCACCTCAGTTTGAGAGCACCTCCCTAACTGCCTCAGCTAGCATCGGAATCCTAGGCATCTACATATCGAGTGAAGTCCAGTTTCGGGGTCACTTAGAGGGTAAGGTCAAATTGACCTCGAAGATGCTCGGTGTATTGAACAGATCGAGGCAGTATTTCACTCAGGCCTACCGCCTTCAGCTTCTCCCTCTGGACCGCATCCAATAAAGAGCGACTCGAATCGTCGATAGCCCAAACATCTCCGATAGGCTCGATCCCTTGGCGTTACGTAGAGATGTGGCTTCACTCTGCATTCTCTATCGCATATATCATGGAGAGTGCTCCGAGAAATTGTTTGGACTAATACCAATTTCCGCCATCGTTCTACACGTCAAAATTTTCATCCTCATTACCTGGATAGTTGGCGCTCCACTACTGTGCGCTTTTCGAGACACATTTTGCCCCGCACAACCAATTTGTGGAACAGGTTATCGTCTGCGGTATTTCCGGACTAATACGACCTTCAAACCTTCAAGAAAAGAGCGAACTCCTTCCTAAAAGGCCGGCAACGCGTTTGTGACTCCTGAGACGTTGCAGACGTTCATGGGCGAGGTCACTTTCCATCAGGTGACCCGACAGCTTGTCTGTCCCCTCTAACATAAAAAAAACTTGCAACGTTTTGGCTGTACTGAGCTGATATTGTTAAAGCTTTCAGTGTCTTCGGAGAAGGGCACTGAACTAATAACGTATCGGAGTCTTGGCAAAAAAAAACCGGTCAGGTACGAGTCGTACTCGTGCGCCGAGGGTTTCGTATCTACCCAGATTTTACGTAGATTTTCGCGAAAATTTGTAAGTACCAAAATTTATCTTAAATTTCAACTTTTTTTATATTTTTTTTATTATGCCTGTATTTGTGCTGTAAGACGTTTCTTTTTGCCAAATTTCGTGATTCTTGAGCTTGGCCCTCCTGATGGTTAGCGGGACGCGGGGCGGGTGATGCGCTCGGCTATACATGACACGATGTACTAACTCGATATCTTCAGATTTATTTGTTTTTCTTCTCTTTGCTGTGCTGTATCGTAGTTTCCTCCCTTAGCCGACTTTTACGACACCCACGGGATGAATAGGGGTGGTGACATTACGTATTCATAATAAGTCACCACACGGAAATAAGTCATTGAAGTTTATTATAATAAATTAACTAATATCATACCTATAGTTAATTTATATTTAACCTATTTGTATCATTTCAAGTATCAAGTTATTTATATATATCAGTAATCGTATTAGGCACGAAATATGTGAGCATTAAAAAGATAAACATTTAATAGATAAAAAGACTGATATTGAAATATTACACAACTCTATCTCTGTATACTCTATCTATATAAATATTGTTTTTTCTCTTTGTAGATTACTAACTTTTGTACGTGGTTTCGCATGCGGTAATGTTGACATTGTCAATCAATTTTTCATCATCAAGATTTTATTCAATTCTGTTCGGCCGTTTTGGCGCTATTCAGTAACAAACGTTCATCCATCCATCCAAACCTTCACGTTTGTTATATTAGAATAGATTATTGACTCTATATAATTCAAGTCAGTCCCATTGTAACTCGTAACAAATGTAACGTAATTTGTTACACGAAGATAAGTTCTAAACTATTCAAAAGGATGGAACATACTTTTGTTACTATATTAACAAAAGACGAGATTCTCTTTCAGATCGAAACTAGACAATTATTCTGTCCATAAGTGTGTTGTATCCTCTAAAGAACCACAAAACCCATAGTTTAGAGACATACCAGCATTTACTCAGGGTTGGGGCAAAATTAAGAAAACTAAAATGATGATTGGAACTTAATATACCATTTACTTCAAACCTTATTTTACCACCCCCATTACCTCGACGGTGTTCGGTAAAAAAGGAACCCTTACAAGATAAGTGATCTTGTCCGTCTCTCCGTCTGTCCGTGTGTTACCGCCGATTTTCTCAGGAACGGGTAGACCAAGCAAGTTGAAATTTATGTTCAAAAAACTGCAATTACAAATATTGAACGTAAATTTGTTTGGCTCAAAAACTCGATTAGATAACAGTATAGGCACTATGTGAATACACTATTGACATTTATCAATAACAATACAACTGAAACAAACATCGAAAGTTATCAGGTTCAAATCCTGACCAGTACACTAATACTAGTAATTTCGGTTGCTAGTAGAACTGATATATATATAATCTTTATAATACAATAAACAATGACACAATGATAAAAAATATAAACATTTATAACTTAACCTTAAACAAATGCGATAAATCGTGCGAGCGTGTACACTTCATTATCAATCATCCGGTGCTAAAGTTTACACGTTTGCCTTTCATTAATATATTATGGTAATACTGTAATAAATTCCATTTATACTGCCATTACTATCATAAATAATTAAGCCGTAATTCTTGTAGTCAATTTGATTGATATGATTCCAAATATCAAGTGTGACATTTGATATATATTAACAAAAAAAAATTGGTCCGTTCAACTATCAACATGCACGGATGGCGTAGCGGTTTAAGCGGTAACCTCGCCACTTTCTACTGGTTCGATCCCCACATGGGGCCACACTATGTGTCAACCACAAACTGTTGTTCAAGACGTTACTTCTGCACTTTTGTAAAGTTAAGGTGACCTATGACGTTATTAGTGAAATCATGTAGTCCATGTTTATTTACGGTTCCGGTTCTAAAGGAAAAACTAAATCGTTATAGAATCGCTTCGGCGTCAAAACTCTCAGAAATGCAAGGATATATCTGCGTTTTCTTTCTGGAGGAAAATATGCAAAATATGTTTGTACTAAGATCATTATTCATAGTCGGTTGACGACCGGATGACGTAGTGGTTTGTGTAACGGACTGCTATTCCAAAGGTCGCGGGTTCGATTCCCGCTCAAGTCAAACATTTGCGTGCATGAACATTTAATGTTTGATTTGGTCTGGGTCTTTCTATGAATAATATGTATGTATTTACAAAAAGAGTATATATGTATGTATATCAGTTGTCTAGTACCCATAGTAAAAGCTCTGCTTAGTTTGGGTCTAGATGGCGTTGTGTGAATGTGGTAGAATAATAAATTGTATTGTATGACATACGCTACCACTCCACCACCGAGGTAGTTGAATATTAGCTGCCTCAAACGGAGTGAAAAGTATAAATTGTGAAGCTTGAGTACGGCTCTATTGAGTCTTACCTTTATCATTAAGAAAATAGTAATCATACGCTTATTAAATAACACTTTTAAATAACTATAATTTCATTTTACTCACATAATTGGCGTAAGCGGCGCAAGCCGTCAAATTGAAACGATGGAAATCGAAGATGGTTAATTAAGGAAAGATGAAAGAATAAAATAGGGAAAAAGAGTAGACAATGGAAAAAAGAGATCCCCAGACTCCCAGCAGTTCCCAGGGAACAATTCCCACGATTTCACTGGGGAGTGTAAGTTATATTCGTTCAGGTCACGATCATAAGCATGTGACTCAAACGAACTATTACCAATAGGTTGAATTTTTGTCACACTGATGGTTTTTTTTTATCAGATGGATCCGACAGATTCAGTACAGAGCCGAGGACAGTTACCTTAAGAATCCGGGATCTGAACCTCTGTGTTATGACACACTGGGTGATGTGATAGCACAGACCGTTGACAAGTATCCTGACAGAGTCGCCGTTAAGTCTGTGCATGAGGATGTAACTCTCACATACGAACAGCTGTTGAAACAGGTAAGGTACCTGCGAAGAGAGGGAACAACCTTATCGACCACGTGGTCGGTGGTGGTGGTGACTGTGATGAAATGGTCAGTGGCTACTTTCGAAGTTAAATTACTTATAAAGTTGCCGTCAAAATACCTATATTTTGGACTCTGAAAGACTTAAGTAAAACTTCAACTAATTCATTTCAAGATTATTATTTTATTTAATTTATTGAAATTGTTAAATTTGTCAAAATTTTAACTGTTCCTTAAAAGTTTTAAAGATTTGTTCTTTAGAAATGTCTTTACAAATTAGTCAAGTTTAATGATGCAGTTAAAAGAAGTTACGTTGTTTTAGTTTTTCTCACCTTTTACTAATCCCATTCACAAAAAATCCTTGAAGTTTATAAATTATTCAAACTACATTGAACATTATTTTAAAAAGAAGAACGTCTTTGTAGTTCTAATGAAAATCCATTTAAATTAATTATGATTGTTGTGAAATCCTTATTGAATAAATAACAAAAGTAGATATTATTACATAAGTTATTAGAAATCAGAATCATTTCATTCTGGTCATTATTTGTATCGGTTTGTATGATTAGGCATGAGAGCGAGATTTTAAGATTAATACCTACAGTAAGGGTCATTTCATGTATATTTAGACGTGAGCCGTCCGGTGCTGTGTGGTACCGACACTTTAGGTTTTTTACTGAACTAAAACCCTTTTATGTCGTAAATAAGTTGGATTGCTGAGTCAAGTTAGGCACGCCATCCTCTATTGTCGTGATTTGGTTTAGACTAGGTGTTAACTGAAGAAATGAATCATTTTTACAGGCCGACGCCCTTGGATGTGCTCTCCGAGCCCAAGGGCTGGAGAAAGGAGATAGGATGGGTATCTGGACACATAACAGTTTTACATGGATTGTGGCGCTCGTTGCAGCTGCCAGAGCTGGTCTTATTTCGGTAAGTTACTTGAGTCCTAAACGTGTTGGTTTTTGTATAATTATAAAACTTGATCTCCCGTCACAAAGTAAAATCTTAAATACCTTTAGAATGGAATAGAATAGAATAATTTATTTCGTTTAAGCATGAGTGATATAGTACAAATTTTACCTTGCATGAAGATGTTATACAGATTATATGTTCTACATGTTTTACTACATATGTTTTACTAAATCAAGCAAAAGTATTGATGTTTAATTGTAATTATAGTGGAAATAAACATTTTCAAATTATTTTCAACCGTAGCTATGTCAAAAAATACAAAAAATAATAATTTCCAAATTAAAATATTACACTAATTCATTAAAAAATACAAAATAATAATAAAGCATCATACATTATTTAACAAAATTATAAATATTAGAATTTTATTGCAAATTAACATTCATCATTACAATTCATAAGATCAAGATACCAATATATTTAAACACATATCACAACAATAAGAACAACATGAAATATAATGTACTTAGGTTGGTGTCAGTTAAGTATTCTGCTATACTATAGTATCATTTACTGACTAAATACATTTTTAGTTCTCTTTTCAAATTAATTAGGCTTAATGTTTTAAAGTGTTTGGGCAATTTATTATATACACCTTGATAAAATATGTAGCTTCTTCTGGAGAGGGCTGGTTTAATTGGATTTCATTGTAGTCCCAATTCAAGCTCATTATTGATCAACTTAAAATGAATAAATTTACACCAATATTATTAGGCACACTCTTGCTTTTAACATTATAACGATTTTTTTAAAGTAAATTTAACATTTTGATGTTTATGTTCATTCCCGCTCAAGTCAAACATTTGTGTGCATGAACATTTAATGTTTGATTTGGACTGGGTGTTTCTATGTATAATATGTATGTATTTACAAAAAAAAGTATATATGTATTTATATCAGTTGTCTAGTAGCCATAGTACAAGCTCTGCTTAGTTTGGGACTTGATGGCGTTGTGTGAATGTGTTAGAAGATTATTATTATTGTTCACTAAGAATTAAAACTTGTTATCCATAACCAGGAGGTTTTTCAAAATAAGAAATCAAAATTTAACAACGTTGGAAATTAAATGCATTACTTTCACACACTTTTCCATGTGATGGAATTGATTTTACAATTTAGTTCGTGCATGAAAATGATTATAATTAAAATAAATTAATAATTTAAATTTGCTTATTTTTTAGGTACTAATGAATCCAGTATACGAGAAAAACGAACTGAGTTATTGCTTAAAGAAAACAGAAGTAAAGAGTTTATTGGTTGGAGACACATTACCGAATAGAAATTATAACGACATAATATCACAGTTGGTACCAGAAGTAGTCGGTACCAATGCAGGATCGTGGAAATCTAAGGAATTCCCGAATTTAACATCTATTATCAGCACCGGAGAAAATAAATTTAAGTTAGTAATTCTATTCGCAGTAAGTTATAAGTCTACCCGTGATCACGGTCATTTAAAAATTTAAATAATTACTTATAGAGGAACCACTCCTTACAACTCACTAATCTCTGGAGGAGGGAGTCAGATCTCTCAGTACAGCAGTGAGGTCAAGTCGGCAGATGGTTCAACCATTCACTTCACTTCAGGTACCACTGGTAAGTTGGATTTCTCCTTTGAAACCAGAGCTTTAATGTACATGGAAGAAACTCATAAATTTTGAGCTACTGGCTACAATTTTTTTAATCAATGTAGACTTCACCCAAACATTTATGTATCATATGAGGGGTTCTAACTTCTTTATGATGAAAGTTTTCTAAGCTGTGTTAACTTCTGTTAATCTAAAATTTCATATCGATTGCTTGAGAAGTAAAAGCTAAGAATGATAACAAGCTTAGAAATCTTCTACATATACATATAATCTCATTCCACTATAACATATAATTTACTAATTTTCCGACAATTGTTAACTGAATCTACGTATCAAAAATAATGTAACAACTTGTTTTAAAGGTGACCCAAAAGCTGCTTTGGATTCTCACTTAGCAGTAGTCAATAACACGTATTATATTGGAAAGAGGAATACTTACAACGATGGACATCAAAAAATATGCGTACAGGTATGGTAACAACTCAACATTTTTTTTGATTTTTATTTTTGAAAACTGTCAAACTCTTGTTGACAGCTCAACTTGTGATGGTTTTGTGAAAGTACATTCTTTCATATCAAAATTACAAAACAAAGCCGACTGACGGCGAACGGATGGCGTAGTGGTTTAAGCGGTCACCTCACCAGTTTCTACTCTGTATTGTGGGGTCAATCCTCACAGTGGATAACACTTTGTGTAATCCACAAATAGTTGTTCTGAGTCAGGGTGTTCTTTGTATTTTATGTCCTTTTTTAGCAGTGTTCAAAATTGCAAGTTGCTACAGAATAGTTGTAATAATAAGTAATACTGAATAATTAAACAATTAAATACTTAATCAAACGAGTAACTTAAGAGTTTATATGTTCTTGAATTAACTACAAACACAATTATATTTTGTTTTAGAGAAGGATTTCAGCCGTCTCACATTCGGATTGAACTTAGATGCCAATATAGGTGTTTAGTATATTCTTCCTGTAATATAAATTCATAATATGTTGTTTTGAAATGTGCACCTATACCAAGAATTGCATTCATGCAAAAAAATAACTTTTTAAACTCATTTATTTATGCAATGTAAATCAAAAATTTGCTGACAACACTTTGTTTTAAAAAATTAACTTACAGGCACCTTTGTTTCACGCTTTGGGATCCATAGTGACAGTTACCAGCAGTCTCAGGCATGGCAGTTCGTTATTCCTCGGATCACCAACATACAATGTTGATGCGAACATCAAAACTTTATTTGCTGAGAGGTATAAGTATAGTATACTAGCTTTAAGCCGCGGAATCACTCGCATCAGAATAAAAGCCATTTCCATATTTCCCATATTATATTATAAACTAGCTGTGCCCGCTACTTCTATTCTTTAAATTTGGTTTTGGGTATTTTATGGGACTAATGTGAAATTGATTTTGCTTATTTATTTATTACGTTTCCACGCTTGAACCGGTTTTAACTATCCTTCAACAATGGAATGACACATTGTCAGTGTCAACATAGTTATCGCGATAACAGACTAAGACGCAGAACCGCGGATAAGAGCATGGTAAAGACTTGTTATTGCAATTCATATACTCTTCGCAATCATCGTACACTAGTCCACATAATATGACTATCAGATTCGCCTGCAATGAATATCGCCGGTCTTAACGTGTCTGAATGTACGTTGGCAGATTTAGGGATAGGGAGGGATTTTAATGGTGGAAGCCACTTTATCAATAATAGCTGACAGTTTTAACTCATATTACATTTTAAGTAAAAATTATATTTTCTCTAGTTGTACTATAGTAACCGGAACACCAACGATGTACGTGGATATCTTGGCTAAAATAAAGAAAATGGGAGATGTTCCATCTAAACTGCGCGTGGCCCTTGCTGCGGGAGCTCCCTGCAGCCCACAAATAATAAAAGACATTCAAACATACCTGAAAGCGGATGTGAAGGTCAGTTTTTATCTTTTATTCGCTTTACACTTAAGTAGTCCTTTTTAAGACTGAATGGAATGAACGAAGCATCCAAACAAATGTAAATTAGATGGTAAAACAGTAGGTATTAATATAGTTCATTATTATTTAGTAATTTGCCATCCTTAAACTAATACATTTTATGCAGTAAATGCTATGTATACCGTAATTCTCATACATATCAGATACAATGCTACATGTTATGTTATGTTTGACGACCGGATGGCGTAGTGGTTTGTGTAACGGACTGCTATTCCAAAGGTCGCGGGTTCGATTCCCGCTCAATTCAAACATTTGTGTTCATGAACATTTGATGTTTGATTTGGTCTAGGTGTTTCTATGTATAATATGTATGTATTTACAAAAAAAAGTATATATGTATTTATATCAGTTGTCTAGTACCCTTAGTACAAGCTCTGCTTAGTTTGGGACTAGATGGCGTTGTGTGTATGTGGTAGAATATTATATTATATAATTATTAATAATTATAAGTATAATATGTATGATGTTGTAGTGCTTATTAATAAGTAAAATAAATAAATAATACCAAAAGAAATCTCCAAAGAACAAATCATTTCATTATAACGGTTAAGACAGTTTATTAGCTAGATTTTATTATGGATCCCGTTTCGATAGGTACTCTTATATTGAAATTCGATTGCAAGCAACACACCTCGTTGTGATTGTAGATATATATATATTTATAGTGTATTCTACACTATTAAAAAATACGGGCAAACGAGCAGACGGGTCACCTGATGGTGTAAGTGACTGCTGCCGCCCATGAACACCTGAAACTTGAGAGTTACAAGTACGTTGCCGCTTTTTGGTCTTCCCTCACGCTCCCGCCCCTTCTCTCAGGGGCAGGGGGGTAGTTTGGGCTCCGGTACCTGCATTGACTCGGTGAAAAGCCTGTGATGAATAATTGAAATGCAATAATTTTGTTAACACATACATGTTTTTTCTTGATTGTAGGTATTGTATGGCTTAACAGAAACTACAGCTTCCTCATTCCAGAGTATACCAGGGGATAGTATAGATTTAGTTGCAGAAACCGTTGGATACATACAAGACCATACAGAAGCAAAGGTACAAAATATTAACACTTATACGCATGCTTATTTATTCACGAAATTATTAATATCACGAATTATTGTCGAAAAGAGTTGGTCATAGAAAGGTGAATACGAGTTTGACGTCAAAGAGAACTGACGTAGCTGTTTAATTTGAATCAAAATCCTCTAAAAAAATACGGCTGAACCAAGTGTTTTCTTCACATCACCTACCTAGATCAATATGTCAGTGTTTGAAACAATACGAGTACAGTTCATGTCTCGCAAACCTTTTATCTAGAAAAAAATATTCAATGGGCGCATACAAAAATAATAACTAAAGTCATACCAGACACTGTGAAATTTGAGAATTCTCTGCGTGAAAATCAATTTAAAAACTCTCTGCGTTCATATTTAATTTGTCTGTTTATTTGTCTTCGTGTATTTCAAAGGTAGTCAATGCGAAAGGCGAGGTAGTACCTTTTGGAAGTCCCGGCGAGTTGGTCTTGCGAGGATACAACAATATGATCTGTTACTGGAATGACCCAGAGAAAACGAGGAAAACTATGGCTGAAGATGGATGGTTGACAACTGGGTACGTTTTACATTTTTCAGATTACATACTATATTACTAGAGAGATGGGAATATTGTTCAAATCTATCAATAAAGGGCATCTTTAGTAGTAGTTCCCAGACGTTGGCTTTTTTAGAATAGGGAACAAACGTCACCTAATGGTATTTGACTACCGTCGCCCATAGACACCTGCAAGTTAAGAGACAAGTAATTTACCACCCTTTAGGTACAGCTCAAAATTAGGTGTGGGGGGAATCGGTTTTCGGTGAGGTCGTTTTATCCCTCCGGTAAAGCCGGCCGATATGTGCTGGAGCATGACTCCCCACCGTTAATTTCAGGAGCAAGTTTTAGCTAGTCAAATCATTACCTCAACCAATTGCAATAATGAAAAATTTAAGGTTCCATTACAGTGTTCATCAACAGCCTTCCACTCCTAGAGACAGGCCTCTCCTTAGAAAGGTGGTTTTGGCCTCCTATACCACGCTGGCCAGACGTGTAGGGTTTGTGTCAAGTTGTCCTTCTCTTTGCAGTTTAGTTATCCTGCATAGTTTGCTCCCTTAGTCGGGTCTTACAACACCTACGGGATAAATGGGGGTGGTGACAATCCGTATTCTTAATCCGTCACCACACGGACACGGGCTTTAGAGTGTAACTAATACATCATTTAACATATTGTTTTTTTGTGAGCTATTAACTTTTCAAAAATTACTTTTTATTCTCAGAGACGAGTTTACACTAAGCAACGATGGTTACGGCAAAATAGTGGGTAGACTCAAAGACATTATAGTTAGAGGAGGAGAAAACATTGCTCCAAAAGAAATAGAGGATCTGTTAAACACCCACCCCGATATTATTGAAAGTCAGGTAAAAATGATTCTCTTAAAGTTTTACCTAAATTTGTTTGTTTATAGTATACCATCTAGTAATTAGGCGAAAGGTTAAAAATATTTTTACACACGTTTGTGGTTACATATTTTTCTTAAAAATATATTCTTGTACTTTATTTTTGTAGGTATATATATATGTACAAGCCATCACAATCGTTTGTTATGTTTGATAATGTACTGTAAAGAAGTAACAAATAACTCAGCTGGTCAAGTTAAATAATTCAGTTGTGGATTAAATAATTTACAGGTTCTGACCACGACAAATTATTAAAAAGATTTTAAAATCTTTTTTTTTTCTAGGTGATAGGAGTATCTGACGAAAGATTGGGAGAGGAACTATGCGCTGTCTTACGGTTGCGGGAGCGCGCCTCACTTACTACAGACGATGTTAAGCGACATTGTTCAGGTCGCATTGCTCGGTTTAAAATACCAAGGATTTTAAAAGTTATTGATGAGTTTCCAAAAACGACCTCGGGCAAGATCCAAAAGCATAAACTAAAGAAAATTATAGAGTCGGGAATTTGACCTCTAAATTATTACTATTAGTTATTTATTTTGTTGTTTTTCTGCCTTATAATATTTTATTTTGCTTCAAAACTCATACATTAAAATCTTCTATGGTAGGTACTAACGGTTATTTTCAATATCATCATTCAACATCATCATCTCAGCATGACGATCAAGCCCCGCACTTGACCAATCCGGTTCCGAGGTGCCTGCGTCAGTGTGATCATCAGTGAGTCAGTACCGGAATCGGAGTTTTTAAATATCAATAAAATCCAAAGTATAAGAGCTTTGCAGTTGATACTCTACACTATTGGCATCATCTTCCCAAAATTTAGTTTATCTGGTATAATCATAACCCAAGTAATGAGGGTTCAAAAACACGACGAAGCAGTTTGAGAAAAGGTAGTTAGTATCCTTGCGCTTCGCTTGGCTCGTTTTGGCATATTTTGGTCTTTTGGGAATGTACAAATATCTATTTGTAACTACTTAGACTTTGTAAAATATTATTATTATAAAGTAATTTAGCTTGACATTGAGGCCGTAAATCCTTAACGATTCTAGTTCCATTTCACAAATTCATTAAAAAATTGCAGTATCCTTAACTATATGTTTGCAAGAGCCTATTTCATCGAAAGTTGTATAAGTAGTTTTATCTTTATGTAACAAAGTTCTTTGTGGAAATTATCATTGCATAGGATTCAGGCGATTTTACATCAGGTACAGGAACTGGATGGTTTCGTACAGATAATTATATATTCTAATTGATAAATAAAGGTATTCTTAGTATAAACATTATCATGTTTAAACATTAACAATGAGTTAGTTCTGACACGTTTAAAAGTGAATTAATGTTAGTTCTATCGAAACTTAATGGCAGTTCTCTTAGTTTAGGAAGGTGTCTTAGATTGACCACCAGTGTATTAAACAATGCCTATTACAGTAATACAACTTGATATTATTATGGAATTACTAATGTCTTCTAATTTGAACGATAAGGTATTATTAAAGACTTAATTTAACTCATTTCTAAACATGAGTTCATTTGTTGTTTTAACCAATATATTTTTTAATTCAGTAACAATTTATTTATAACCTCATTCAAGATAGCTTCATTACTTAAGATAGCTTGAGGAGTTTAATTGAAAATGGCAATAGAAGATTTTCCGATAGTTATTTGTTGGACTAACTAACTGTTTTTCGTTAAAATATAATGCTCGAATTGCCATTGTAAAAAATACTTTCTTCATGATCGTGCCTATGCCCGAAAACTAGGTGAATATTTTTGCTTTAATCGACATTAGATATGATCTAGCATTCGCAGAAACGATAATTTTTTGGAACCTGATGAACCCGATTCCGTTCTCGGGCCTTCATAAGCCGTCCTCGATAAGCGCAGGCCTGAGGGTGATAGGCCATCTGTCACTTTAGCAGAAGCAGGCCGCGTGGGTAGTGGCGCGACGCGCTACGGAGCGGGCATGCCCTTCGGGGGCAGGAAGGGAACATCCACACAGGAGATATCATCTATAAGCCCTAGATGGCCCTAGGTACGGCGGAGTACCAGGACTTTCCTTTCTAGGGTATAATTCGTTCCCCGGCTACTGGAACCTGGAGACGGCGTGCGGTTTTTGGTCGGTTCGAGTTCGAGATAACCACCCACTGGTGGGTGGTCCCCAGGGGAGTTACGCTCAGAAAAAAATAAAAAAAGGGGGCCGAGTTTGATCGATATATCAATAAAATATAGGTCATAACAATTTTTTACATCATCATCATCATCAGCCTATCGCAGTCCACTGCTGGGCATAGGCCTCTCCCATTGCACGCCATTTAGATCGAGTTTGGGCTTCTCGCATCCAGCACCTGCCAGCCATCTTGCGCAGATCGTCACTCCCATTAGAGAAACACCGAGTGCTCTTCATAGCAAGCTGGTTGACTTTAAGCTTGTGGACCAGCAGTACCGTAAGTGTCCAGGTTTCGGCTACGTATGTCATGACGGGTAGGACGCACTCAATATTTACATACAAGCTTAAAAAAAACTCCACCGCGTCACCAGTGTCCCAAGAAGGCTGGTAGCATTTCCACGATGAATGGCAACGCTGTTTCTCTACGCTAAAAAATGAACGGCCTTCTTGTCGCAATTGCTGAGCTAGATTTTTTTACATAGAACGAGCACATGCACCCTATGACCCCTTTTTTGGTGAAAATTCCTTCAGAGGTCCGGCTCTGGGGGGGGGGGGGGCAGAATCCAGGAGTATGCGGTGTTTACATAAATAACCACCCTGACGGCCGGCAAGACCCTACTCTGGGGAGGACCCGGATCATGTAATCTCAAGTCTTCCCCGAATCAACGCCATGCCCAATCAGATCCTATCCCTTGAGACCTGATCACTTTTGGATGCGATTAGGATACCACCCTATCTCATACCGCAGTTCCTAATTTGCCACCAGAGGTCCCCACTCTCTGGCAGTCCGCCGACCCCATGACCCGACGGTTCAAAAATATAACTATTTTTTTTGTATTTACGCCGTTTGATGCTTTAGGCGGATGCAGCAGCAGCGCCGACATGACCAGATGTGATAGTTCGAGCGTGTCGGCGCAAGTTGTGTCTTACCTGGTAAAAAAATACCTGGTATAAAATGGCAAAAATAAATACACATTTGTTTTTTTAAATATTGTTTACCGAATGTCATAATTGTTTCGGCACATATAGGCTAGCTTGAATGGAGCGATACCAGGGCCTCTCAGAAAAACGCTGTTAAGTTCATTTCGCACCGTGTGACTGAAGTTAGTGGAGCCCCAGTTTTGTGATATAGGGGGTAGCGAGCAGACGGGTCGCCTGATAAAAAATGACTACCGCCGCCCATAAAAGTCTCTAACTCATGAGTCACTAGCGCGTTGCCGGCACGAGGTGTACGTTCTTTTCTTGAAGGTTTGAAGGTCTGGTAAGTTGTTCCACAGATTGGTTATGGGAAGCAAAAAGGGTCTTGTAAAGCGCACAGTGGTTTAGTACCAATTATATTATTCAAGTGATAGAGATGAAAATTTTGCATTGTGGAACGATGCCGGAAAGTTGCGGTCACTATTATTCAGAACAATTCCTCGAAGCACGATGATACATACGATAAAGAATGCAGAGTAAAGCTAAAGCTACCACTACGAAATTCAAAGAGGTCAAGCCGATCGGAGATGCGTTCCAAGGGGAGAAGCTGTTAGTGAGTTCGCCCTGCATAGAGATGAGAACAGTATTCCATATGCGGCTGGACTTGCGTCTTATAGAGTTAAATTCATTTCATAGTTTGTGTTGTTTATTGTGTTGTTGAGCAAGAGGTTTAGGTACTTATATTTAATTATTGTCAACCCATATTGATTTTATTGATTTTGTTGAGTATATTTAACTATATTGAAAATTCCCTATTTTAAAGAAAATTTCCAACAACTGGTATCATTTATGCACGCACACTAGGAAACAGAATGTAAGACGAAGCTGTCACGCACACTAATATTGAAACCTCCGCTCATTTCTATTTGTTCTTTTGCAGCACGATGCTCTATGGCATATTAATAAGACATATTAATAATCTCAGCTTTTAAGCATATTCAGGAGAAATACTTAACGTTTGTGTACAGAAAACGTGCAGGCAATGTTCACGTAAGAGAAATTCTGACATATCTAACAGTCAACACAATCAGTCTGAATTGAGATCTTCCTAAGCCGTGACAATCACTCTTTAAATAAATATCAAATTACCCCTAAAATCATTAATTATATGACCTTATGCGCTTTGATTTTCCCTTGTACATCATCTATGGACAATAAGACAACATATTATTTGAATTTTATATTATTTAGGCCTACGTCCAACAGTGGACGTCTTTCGGCTGAAAACATGACGCTGATGATGATTAAAAGCTCATCAGTTCACTTCTTAGTTCATCCAACTACGAGCATATCTGAAATAAATTCAAACTTCAATTCGATAATTCGAACTTAGATTGTTGTTAGTGCATTAAAATTTAAGACTTAACTAAAAAATGTATCTAAATAATGAAGTTGCTATGAATTTATTTTATATTTAAGACATTTTTTTATCTTTAAAAAGAAAATGTTCGTTTGAATATCTAGTGATGCTAAAATCCCTCTTTAAGCATGTTTCCTCCTGTAGTGAACGGACCTTGTACCTAAATATCTATACAAGAAATGATATTTATTAAATGATAGGGGTACGTTTAAATGTATTGCCGCAATAAAAAAAATGTATACATCTCGCACTTTTCCCTAAAGGAATATTTAATGTAGAAGCGACAAACATTTTGGTACCAAGTAACCAGCTTTGGTCAATCGGTCGTCCCCACTGCTCCTTCACGACAACGCGCGACCCCATACTGCGCAACAGACAGTCTCCAAGCTGCAAGAGCTGGGGTTGGAAGCTCTCCCTCATCCGCCATACTCACCAGACCTTGCACCTACCGACTATTACTTTTTCCAAAATTTAGACAACTTTTAGTGGGTAAAAAATTCAATTCCCGAGAGGCAGTACAAAATGCCTTTGAAGAGTTTGTTGCCCCCCGTCCAGCTGATTTTTACAAGAAAGGCATCAATAAACTGCCAATGCGTTGGTAAAGATGCGTCGATTGCATGGGTGATTACTTCGAATAACAGAAATAAAAAAGTTTGAAAAAATAAGTACTTTCACTTATTGCATACAAAACGGCAATTTCATAGGTAAAGACCTATTATATATGGCTGGGTAATAGCAATAGGTATACCGTGTACTACGTAAGAGGGACTAAAATTATAGTCGGTTAAGTTTCTTTCTACGACTTCGGGGATAAAAACCTGAATATTATTCCGCGCAGTGCACGCCAGTAGAGCTCCCCGTAGGCTTAGTTTTTCGGAAGGCTTCCACAACCGTTGTCATCCTTACTTCCTTACTTACATCATAAATTTGAAAGTGAGTTTGTTTGCTCGTTTGTGTCGTCTAAACCACTGAATGGTTTTTAAAAATTCTTTCACCAATGGAAAGCTACATTATCAGCGAGTAACATAGGCTACTTTATATCGCGATAACCGACATACTCGTGGGCGTAGCCGCGGGATAAACCTAGTATGTTATATATCTAATTACTAACTTTTGAGTGTGTGTCAGTCAGCGTGTAAGTCAGTTATCGCGAAAAAGAGTAACCTATGTCTTTTATCAAGAATCAAAGTCTCTTCATGCGAAATTTCATTAAAATCGGTTCAGCGATTATTGATTTCCCATTCAAACTTCCACCCTCCTTTTCACCCACTTACCCCAAAAATCACTTGTGACCATTACCTTTTCTGTAAATATCATAAAAAACAAAATATATTTCTTCTATACCGTATAAATTTGTATAATGAGACAAAATAATGCATTACATGTAATTTAACGCTTTCCATTAAATTATTAACACAGAAAAAAAAAGGTTTACCAGAAACATGATTTAACATTCGCATATTCGTAAGGACACGTTAAATCACGTACTAAATTTGTTAGTAATAACGAACCACGGTCAAGACTTTGTATTCTTTTTGGTATCTGATCTTGGCTTGGCTGAATCGAGGCCGCCGGGTGCCCCTGCCTCCATCGCCGGAAGTGGCGCGTGGGGCGCACGCGACGCCAACGCCACCCCACATAGCCTGCTTCAACCCCCGTACCCCGCAAGCCCCCTCTCTGTGACGAAACATGCAAATTTCCCCGACCTCCTAAGGCCACGATACAAATCTAGGTACGGGAAAATGCGTTACAAATGTATTTTCCGCTTTCCTGTTTTCTCAAACAAGGTCGGAAGGTGAAAGATCTGGTCCGCTTTGCTTCTATTTTCGAATAATTTTAATAACTTTAACCTTATTTTTGAATATAACGTCGCTAACAGTTTAACTTTTTTATGACAAATACAAGATTAAATAACTTATAAATGTTAGATTTGGATATAAATTTAATGACCTACTACCATATTCCCACATTATAAAAAACTATTTATAGTATAGAATCAATACAAAAACACGTGTAGGTATATAAGAGTCAGTAGACCAAAGTGATTCTGGCAGGATATAAGTCACTTTGCCTGAAATAACACAGACAGCGTGATGCTTCTAGACTGTCATAGAAACGACATCGACGCGGCTCAAATTCTCGACATTTACGTCAACTTTCGAAGTATGAAATACTTAAAAACCGTTACGTTTTTAGGTTGTCGACATAAAATAAAAAAAAGAATACAAAGAAAACTGTTTACTCATCGACTACTGACAGTGCTTTTTAATTTCATTTAGTAAATTGCAACACCTTCGGTTTATCATAATATCATGTCAGGTCATAACATTCGATAATCATGAATGTTTAAAGCAATTCGCTAATAGATTTTTTTAATAACGCTGTTCTTCATTAAATTAATTAGCCTTTAATGTTTGTACCGTTTTGTACTAATATGGTTATTTGTATGTATTAGTGCGAATGCTACAACTGCTGCTATAAGTCTCTAAAGGTACCGGTAACTTTTACAAAAATAAAAAATAGTTGAAAAGAGTTATAGTAATACATATATAGTGCTGCATTTACTTGTTTCTATATAGCTTTTAAATAAATGTGCCGATAACACTCCTTTTAAAAATAGTTATTTCTTGCCGGTAAAAGTTGTTCTTTTTACATAATGACACATAGTTAAATGTCTTCAAGAAACGTTGCAATTAGAATTGAACGTCAAATACTATTCTTTTAAATGTTAAAAAAAACATACTTTAGTCCAATATGCTCTCCTCCTCCCGTGACAAAAAACTAAATGGGTCAATGCATGGGACATTCTGAGACATCGCTCGCCGGAGTTTGTTTGTAAATCCAGCCGGCGCAAGCCGTCGCCTTTATTTACTCCAATCATGCAAGAAATCGGCTGGCGCTACGCAACCGTGCCGCAGTCATGCTCCGCCCGCCCACCAACTAACATACTCGGCAAGCTCGAGCCATGGCTGTTTGTAATACCCTGTGTAGTGCTTCGTAATTGTGATACTGTTATGTGACGATGTCTCAGGCTGCCGGTGGCAAGAAAGGCGGCAAAGGCCCGCCGAAGAAAAATGCAGACGAAGATAAGAACCCACCGGTTAAGGCCACGGATGACACTAAAGATGAGACATCGTCCAACAATGGTGATAAGAAAGAGGTTAAAGAGAATGGAGCCACGGAGAACATCGTCAAGCCTCCAAGTGCAGGCATTAATATACGGGAGGTGGCTTCTCGGATTCTCACATTGGCACAGAAAGGAGAGTGGCCGGCTGTGGAGCAAACCCTTAAGGTTCTGGAGAAACTGGTGGCAGCTGGTGGTGAGGATGCAATCTCTGTGCCCATGGCAGGAATACTGGATCCGGTGAGTATTTACTCTAAGAGAAGAGTATTCTCAAAACAAGATTAGCACATAAGGGCAGATTCGTTTGAATGCTTGCTTCAGACTTTTGGCTAGGAATTAAGTGTGAGATTGTAAATTCTATTTGACTGTTTCATATTTCCAAAGATGTCTTTGTTGTATGGTGAGGATCAGGTACCTACCAAAAGACATTAAAATGTAAGGTCGATTTTGATTGTTTGAAATACGAAGCATGACCCAATATTATAAAACTAATGTGTATTATGAATGAAGGACTTTTTGAGACGGTAAACGGTTTTTATAACGTGCTAAGCGTAATTAACATTACAGTCGTCTTTTTAGGTTTCATTCGTCAACGGGCGTTGTCCGTAACAAGTATTAAATATTTCACTAATGTGTGAAGAATTTTTACTGCTACCGCATGGTAAATTGTTCTGTCTTAAAATTAAATACCAGAAAAGAAACACTTTGATATGTTTTTAAGAATGGAAATTTTAGACCACGTCCGACAAGTCCACAAAAAAACAATTTCAAAACTTAATGCAATAATATAGTGAGATGGTTTTATCTAAGCATCGTCTAGACATCCTTTAGCGTAACATTGCATTAATGCATGCCAAATATCACATTTAAATGGTTGAAGTATATTTTCAGTTCAGCTTAGCATATAGAAAAACAACCTATAAATGTGGACTTTATAACACAAGAATGACCTTGTTCCAGTCCAAATTAACACGAGGTACTATTAAAGATGTCCTTCATACTATTCGTTAGCCGAGGGCTCGCATAAAATCTTACCTGAAACTGAAACCTTCAACTTTCGTAGCTCACATAACGCTGGCTAGTCGAAGCAATAAATTATATTATCAGAATAAGTGACGGAGAAAATAGTGTAATAATAATAAGTATTTTATCAGAAAACATCAATTAAGTCTTATCTCAGATCTACTTAAAGTGAGGTCAGTGTGATATGACTCAAATGTTGATTTACCATGGAAGTTTGATAATTGCCGCGCTTTTCTTAGTGATATATAGTTATCCCAGTATTTCTGCTTTACTAAGTACGATTTGATGACTTTGATGGCACTGTGGGTGTTAGGATGGTTTGATCTCCACCGGAGACAATAATTGTTTTACTAGTTTTTAGTAGTTATCAACAACCTGCTGATTTCCTCGTCTAACAGTTGTCTTCATTAATCAAATCGAATTTTTCAAAATGTTAATACTGCTATATTAACAAAAATCTATCTTTACACCGAATTTCTTTATCTGCTAGAATCCGCTCTTTTTTTCAAAAAATAAAATCTTTTTAGGAAACTTACTCTTTTAGTGCTGAAATCCATGTTATAAAATTCTCACTGTATTTTATGATTTACATTTTTCACTAATACCTGCTATGGCATCATCAATTTCATCTTTGATTGGTTACGCAAAGTTGGATCATAATCCTCTGCCTCTTTACTCTTCAACACCCACTTTCAGTAGTTTTAAAATTACGTAAAATATTTAAACAATATATGTCACGAAACGAGAATCCTACAAAATGCACAACACGTGATATGTCAGCTGTGTTTTTCGGCACAAACTGTTAATTAGAATGTATTAGTTAACTTAACATCAAGTAGATAACGTTAAAAGGTTTGATAATGAGATAGCATGTCTAGTATCCGTATCGAATAATCGAACTATGAATGTAGACGCTATTTTTGTAATATTAGCAGTAATAACTTTACACATATTACACACGGTGTCTGATCCCAAACTAGGCTGAGCCTGTATACTGGTAACCAGACTGCTAATTAACATACTTATATATTTCTAAATACATATACATTATAGATAAACTACCCAGACAAAGAATAAATGATCGTGCTCATCACACAATGTTTGTCCTGGGTTTGAATCGCATCCAGACCTCCGGCTTATAACTCAGAATCGTTAACCATTGAAAAGAAAAGCATACAACTCCCTCCGTATCCAATACAACAATGCATTTAGGGTGCTGTTGGGCTACCCCGCTTCTGTAGTGCGTCCGGGATGTTCGCAGAGGCGCGAGTGGACTGCTTTCACACTATTATGCGAAAACGGTGTGCATCTTTGGTGCGCAGGGTGCGGGCTAGCTCTAACAGCATACTAGCCATGATCACAGAGAAGTTAGATTGCAGGTACATTGGTCACTGCAGCGCCGTCTCTCATGGAGTGCATAAATAAAAATATTGTAAATTGTCTCTACTAACATAGGATAAGTTTTATGTATTACTAACAAGCAATGAGTCATGGTTACTCCAATAAAATGATTATTATTATTATTGAACCAACAGGGACGTTGTCGTCATATTTTGCTTTTAATAGACATTGTCCACCATATCTGAAGGCTTGTCCATTTTTCTATAGATTTTTTCGGAATATTATTTTTGTTTTGGCTTTCTACTGCTTATATACCTATTATTATGACATTTTGTCATGGAAATCAAGATGGAGACAAGATGAAAAACTAAAATAAATGTATACAGGTCAGATAAATATAGAGATATAGTAATGAGATATACAATTTCTATTAAATTAAGATTAATCATTTTGAAATGCTACAAAATCTTTATAATCCAACATATTGTGAAAGCTTTTGATAAAATTATGACTAATTTAACGTACTTTAAGGCCCTAAGCTTGTTTATAGTGATTCATCTAGCCGATAATATCTAAAGACAGCCAGACGAGGGATACGAAGGGTTTCTACAGTCATACTAAACAAAATATTACATTTTTACATTTAACGAGCTAGTTGGTCTTTTCATAATGCAATGTGTTGTTTAGGAAAAGATTTTAGGTGATGAGGGTAGCTGTAATTTTTATGACTTCTTCTTTAGCACTTATGCTATTTCCCAAACTTACATACAAATGAAATAAGGTTGAAAAAAAAAATGATTTGAGTGAGTGAGGTTACTGGAGCCTAATCCTCCATTTCGGGTAAAGGGGGGCACTCAAAGGGTGACACATATTTGCGTTTTTTGAGTTGCATATGTATATGGGTGGCGGTATTCACTTACCATCGGGTGACCCGTATGCTTGTTTGCACCCTATAAAATAAAAAAATACTGAGTTACCTTTACTGGTGAATTTCTCTTGAATCTTCTCTTTTAGTATTTTTTTTTGTTCAAGTTATTTACTGTCTGACTGAAAATGTATAAATAATTATCTAATACCAACAGAGGTTGGCCCTCATCAGGCGACATTACACCTCTTGCTCTTAGGTTGGGGGTGTTCAATGGCGGCGGTAGTCACTTACCTTTTAGATAATCCATGTGCTCATATGTGACCCATGTGCTATTCCATAAAAAAATAAAACCGTTTCTGTAACACCCTTTATAATAGCTGAAAAACCTACGAAAACAAAAAAAATACATATTTCTGTAACAACCTGTATACCAGCGGAATAACCTGTGAAAACAAAATTAGAACCATTTCTGTAACAAGCTGTATACCAGCGGAATAAAATGTGAAAACAAAAAATATAACCATTTCTGTAACACTATACGCTTATTTTTTTTAATAACTGACTTCAATAAAGACTTAATAGTTAATCCTACTACAAAGTAAGTAATAACGTATTATGCACGTACATTTCACGTTATACGAGCGGGGCCACCTACATATGTGAATTGTAAAGGAATATTTGTAATGCATTCATTTCATGCTAATATATACTTTTAATTCTCTTTTTTAATCCACATACTAGTACTTATATATTGTGTTTATACATTTTAACTACATTTTGTAAAATAAAGTAAAACATTTGAAATAGGACACCATAGCAGATTCATTATGACCTTAAAATTTTATATATTATTAATAAGTAGGTTTATGTATTATTGCTGCCATGCTGCCGGAGATAGGTCTCGTCCGATTAGGTAGATCAGGACCTCGCGGTCAGCCTGGGTTCACCTGGGATAGTCTTCCAGCGTATGCTATATGCAGTCGGCTGCGCAGTTGTGGCATTGTGCTATCGCCTGGTGTCTGATCCGATTCAGGCAGTCACCGAAACAACCATGACCAGTGAGAACTTGTCTTTACCTACCAACAAGGAGAGGCCTATGTCCAGCAATGGACTATTGATGGCTGTTGATGTGATGTGATTTATTAAGACATGATAGAATTCTACTTCGTTTTGGTATTTAAAATATTTTTATTAAAAACAACTGATCTGAGCACTATTAGTAAACAATAGTAATTAGTAACGTATTAGTTAAGTGTTTATTGAAACATTCTTCCTTTCCTTTTTACCTCCATCCTTTATAAGCTCATTGGAGCTTCAAGAGGAAAACTCTACAAGCGGCACGAAGTTCTCGAATCAGTGGAATGTATACGACAACGGTGATCACCAGCACTGCAAAGGGTTCAAGGGAGAGACAGTTGGAGACTGTATGGCTATCTCCCTTACACAGGTTGTCTAGGAGCATGAGTTCTACGGATGAATGTCTTCATCATTCTTTGTTACTGCAGTGCTAATTGTGCAGTGCACACACTGCAGTGTGGTGACGGATTAAGAATACAGTGTCACCACCCCTATTCATCCCGAGGGTGTCGTAAGAGTCGACTAAGGGAGTAAACTACGCAGAACGACCACACTGCAAAACCCGTCTGGCCAGCGTGGTATATTAGGCCAAAACCTCCTTTCTGAGAAGAGGCCTATGTCCAGCAGTGGACCATTAAAAGTAATTGATGAATTGCTGTAAAAACGACAATTTAAAAAAGTAACAGTCTTTAACATTATTTCTTTCTTTTTTTGTATTAATCTGTGCCTTATTATATACATATTTTAATCGAATTCTTGTCTATCTATACATATACTTTTGACACGCGGCTTTGCTGACGCGTTATATAAAAATCAATGTATCGCTTAGGATCAACATATTCTATTTAATGTAAGGTGTAACGCTATATTTTTTAACTTTACCCCTAATAATTTGTATGTAAATTTTCATGCTAAGTCACTGACTAATTAAGGCGTTTGAATATACCAAACTAAAACATACATATTAGATTATATT